TTGTTCATAAGTTAATAGAACTTTAGTATTAAAGGGATTCTAAAGCCGTTTGTGTTACCGATAAAATCATAATTTTTGTATAACAATTACTTTTTTTCCTGTTTTATAGATTCGAAAATCTTTTCAGAATTAAAGTATACGCATTAATACGTGTCTATGAAGTAGAGCTGAGACAGCTACGAGTTGAAAAATATAAGTTTTTAATTTTTTATCGATCTTAATATAAAGTCAGCTGTCCCAGTTACTAAATTTTGCATCTTATACTTTAATTCAGTAAAAGGATTTTTATTTGATTATTGAAGGATTCAGCCAATTCGGAGATTTTTATACGACTGTAATGTATCAATAATTTTATTACTTTAGCATTCTCTTAAAAGTAAAAAGTTGTTCTGAGTTAAATATGTTTAAATATCTGGAAATACTTCTTGGCGATGTTGTTTATATGCAATTCATGTCGTAAAGCATGTATGATATTGACTGTGTTCAGCAAAGAAAACATGTCTGCCTAGCTGCCCCCTCCCCTTCACGTATTAATAACCATAATAACAACTAATTTGAAAAATCAAATACATAGGATTTCTGCGTTATTTATGTGCTTTCATAGTTTCAATTTTTGCGTTGCATCTCTTAAGACACTGCCTTTTTGGAGCAAACGGCTTAGGGATGAATATGACTGTTTGCTGGAAGAGGGAAGTGTTCCCTCCCTTAAGGGATGCAGCGCAAAAATTAAAACTGTGTGAATATGAAAGCGCATAAATAGCACATAAATCCTGTGTATTTGATTTTCCATATCGGTTGTCATCAACACATAGGAAGGGCTGACTGATAGCTTACTCATTCACCACAAAAAAATTTTTTTTAGCTAAACGAAATGAGCGTAAAAATTTTTTCTTGTGGATTTTGAAAGCGCATAAATAGCGCATTAATATCATATAATTTATTTATTAAAATTTTGGTTAAGTGGGGGAGGGAGGGCAGTTATACAGACGTCGAGAAAACTAATCAGTTAGTGATTCTTAATTAATATGATTGGTTCTTGTTTTTAGTTCTTTGCTGAATTCAAGTGTAGGAATCAATAATATTGAAAATCACTAAACGCTAATTGATTAGTTTTTCTCTGGTAAACGCAACCATTATTAAAGACAGCAATTTCTTCTTTTTTTTTTTGGAAAATCAGCAATTTTTCGTTGGCATTGATACAACACTATGCTCGAGTTATAATGTAATGAGGAAGATATCACATTCCTGCAAATGATCAATAGAAGAGTGAATTTGGACCTTTTGATTTATTATTTTCAATATGCTATCGTCATTATGTGCAATGTTACATCATGACTCGAGCAACAAGAACAATGTGATTGTTTTCTTTATATTTTGTGCATGCGTCCCTGTGTATATTTCCAAATGCAATCGATATGCCGAATAACGTCTAGCTTGCACCATCCTTTCGAAATTACTAACGCACGAGACTCGTTTAAATAAATCGCAGGTCGCTCGTACCGATTTCCAGATTGGTAATCACGCTCGGGGCATCAATGACTGTTAAATGTCGGGCGCCTGAAAAAAGTTCAAGGCTATGCGCTGACAAATTAACCCTCGATCGCTATAATTAAATTTGTTAGTGACGTGACCACTTGAGGCAATCCTTGACGTGACTCCGTAATAACCCACATAGCATATTAGCGTTCCAAGGATATTCATAAAAAATTATAATGGGATATCCTCACAATGTCGTCACGATGAATGCAACTATCTGAGTGCTAGTATGTTTATAAATAACGGAACGATTCAAGGTGCACTACTTCCGATAGCATATTCCGATCGCATTGTAGGGGAGACGCTTCACATTGCTGAGAGACGCGACACACTGTGTCACGTAATCGACACATGTTCTGGATTCCCATAGAAATCCAGCACACGCGATCCGATGACAACCACAGGATTCTTGCCTGGATGTCGATTAGTGGTCCGATAATCAACGATCGGCATTTATGGGCATCGACCAGACAACCGCTCATAATAGGAGAGAAAATGCACTCTCGAATAAAAAAGAAAAAAACCAGAAAGTAAAAGAATGAAAAAGAAAGAGAGAAAGAGGGAGAGAGAGAGAAAATTATAATTAAAATTAAAAAATAGAGAGAAATATACAATTCCTAAAAAATCTTTTTAAAAAAAGAAAAAACGTCAAGTGTATAAAAAAAGTGTTGAATACATTCTTCTTGATAAAAAATCTGAAATAAATGTAACTAATCAAGTATTTAATTATCCAAGACACAGATAAGATAGACTGAAAGTGATTAAAATTGTCAACTGAATTATATATATAATAGTAAAGAAAAAAACTTGCATTAAATCCGAGTCGCATTAAACACAATATTCTAAGATCAATATGTTTTCAGTATGGAAATTATTTGCAATACGAATTAATAAAAAGATTATTATACATACAATATTTTGCAGATATACACAATACATGAAATAATTCAATAAAGAAGAGATATTAATAACTGTTTACTAATCTTGTAAATTCATTATCTATAATAATGTTTCCATATATAAATATTATCAATATTATGAGAGAGAGAGAGAGAGAGAGAGAGAGAGAGAGAGAGAGAGAGAGAGAGAATAAAGGAGACAAAGTTTCATAATTTCTGGAAAAAATATACAGTCGTGAGCAAAAAAGTGTGATTCGAATTTTTCAAACTTTATTTTCTAGTAAAAATATTGATAAACCAGTTTTAATATACGTATTATTCAGAAACACAATCTACGCATAGAAAATTTAATTGTACAAGCATAAAAAAAATAAATGATTACAAAAACCTTTTTTAAAAAGTCATTTTGAAAAGTTAATTTTCTTTTTTTTGTTTATAATTTATATCTATAAATTTAAATATAAAAAAGTAATATAAAAATACATTATTAACTTATTATAAGTCGAATGCCATGAGCAACCTTTAAATGCAGCGTTACATCTGCGGCATTCTATCAATTAATTTGTTCATCGGAATAAATAATTACTAACTTTAAAAATATCATTTTCTCATTATAGATACCAGTATGTATAACTGAATATATCACTGAAAATTACTTCAAAATATTTTCTTAACATACAATAAAAATATATATGTACCACATGTTGTCAACATATTGGTCAATACTTATGTCAGCTATTTTGTAAATGTAATGCTTACTTAGAGAAGACATTTATAAAATGTAACCAATTGATTAATTTTATAAATGTAATGTCTGTGTGCTAGAAAAGATATATTACATTTATAAAATTATAAAATAATCTAACATACTGACCAATATGTTGATGCAACTCGCGATATAAAAGACAATAAAAGAAACACTAGAATGAGAGTAATCATTTTCGTAATTTTATGGGCGTTGAATCTCTGGCTTTCAAATTGTTCTATCATGCCATAATTTTGAGAAATTTACATATAAAATTGCAAAAAGGACTGCTTCCACATATTTTGTTATATTATAACTACAATATATGATGTGTTGCAGAAGTAATTTTAGTACAATCAAAAATAAGTATGTTATTAGGACTCTCAATCTACAAACGGATTTTTTAATGTCGACTGTGGTTAATAAGTAGGGCACGGGTACGTTCGGGTACGATCACGGAGTGTACGCGAAGAACCGCTGTACGCTTTGTTTATTGGACGTGTTTAGCGGACTTATTCTTATAGATCTAAAAGTCTAATTGAATAATGTAAAAGAATACACCAATAACAGCGGGCGCTTATTCAATTGTTGTGTCCGCTAAATGCAGTCATTGAGATGCTACATATAATCAAAAGAACAGGGAACAGAATAAGAATTTCAACTTATCATGTACTATGAATACATGCAGTTTTTAATAGATTGAAATTCTTATTATTTGTTCCTTGTTCTCTATTTTTTTGATTGTTCGCAGCCTCTGAGTAATTCGTGCCAGAAATATTGCTATCTCACTTTAATAAATATCTGACACACTTGTGCATGCAGCAGTTCTCTTCGCACACCCCATAATTGTGTTCAAACATAGAGGGGATCGTGCCATCCGTATTTAAATAGTATAATCTAATGTGTACATATCTAATGTGGACAACAAAAGAAAAGGAGCGGCTAGTCATTCTCTGTTTTTAATAATATTACTGCTGAATAAAAAGAGACAGAGACTAACTATCTTCGCGCCTTATTTCTCTCATTTTTATCGACGAATTATACACATCATTTCGGGTGTTCGAACCAAAATTGCCGTCCTGATTTTTTGTCATCTTCAAGGGTCTCTCTGCCTTCCAAAAAACGCTTATGCCACTCAAAAACAGCTATACGACCTAGACATTGACTGCCGTAAACTTGTTGCATCGATCGGAATGTTTCTGATGCACTTTTACCAAGTTTTGCGTTAAATTTAATCACTGCTCTTTATTCCATATTAAAATTTCTACCTCGACCAAAATCTTGTTTAACATGAACTGTCATATCTTCGTTATATGTCAACCAAAATGAATGAAACTTTGACAGAGATAGCAAAATGTTCAACCTTTAAAATGCATGTTTGAACACACAGATGTCGCCACCAAATGGTTGCTGAAATGTGGTTCGTGTCCGGGAACATATTTGTCGCACTGTGTACATATATGGAATGCGCAGCTCTATGTTTTTGATTGTGCTCGAATTTCTATTAGTAAAACATTTATGGTTAAATATGAGATTTATTGCGAAAAAGTGAATTAAGTTAAAAAAATCCTTTTACAAGATTAAAGTAAACGCAAAATCCTGATATGGTGCAGTGGATTTTATACTAAAATAAAAAGAAAATTAAAAAAGTTTTTTATTTTTTTTCGATATAACATCAGGATTTTGTGTTTATTTTAATCCTGTAAAAGGATTTTTTATTCCGTTTAGTCAATTCAAAGATTTTTATCAAACTGTAATGACGATAATTAGGTCTCTCCAACATCCCCTTAAGGAATATATTCAAAATCTTTTCTCTAAAGTTTTTCAGCACGAGCAGTACGCGGCATTGTCACCAGAGGGACGTAGCGGAGTTCAGTTTCTCCCGTTTCTCCTAAGAAAAATATCACTCAACAAAGGCACAACATTGGATTCAAACTTAGAAGACAAATAAACGAAAAATGCATATAAAAATTTGTAACTATGTATTAAAAAGTTTTAATAAGAACACTAAATAAATTAAATAAACTAAGACAATATAGTAATATTAATAATTTGTAATTAATATTACTATATGATTATGTTATTATATTTTCTTAATTCACTTAATTTAGTATTCTTATTTTAGAATTTTATAATATATACATATAGTTGAGGCACTTTTTACTTATTAGTATTAACTACAAATTTATAATTACTGATACGACTTTTTTCTCTGATTGTGAGTGCGATACCAAAATTAACAAATTCAAAATCATGAAAGACATTTATATACATTTTATAACAATGGACACTTTTCAAGTTTTGACATCCACCGTACTGAAGTCATCATTAAGAATTTGTATATTCAATAGCTAAAAAGCTGTTAAGTTTAAATAAATATAGTTGAAAGATATCTATTTGTTAAATTATCAATAATTTAATTCACAGCTTTTCTACCATTAATTTTTGTATTTAACTATGCGTATCTGGAGACACGGTAGTGTCTCGGCGCTAAGATAAACGAAATGTTATGGTGCGAGACACTGCCATGCTTCTTTTACGTGAGCCGGCGAGTTGCGAAGACATGGTTCTCAATAACGGTTGATGAAGTTCTTTATATACTTAATCAATAGCTACCACTTATATAATGAAAGTGGTTTTATTTTTCTACGTATCCTACGATCGGAAATATTGCGACGCAAACTTCTGAATCTTGGAATTTTATCATAATTTTAAAAAACGTCGTCGACCAGCAGAATGTACAGCTGCAGCGTCTGGTGTTAGATGTTTTATTAGTCGATACTAAAAAATCTTTTTTTATTAAAACTGAAAATTCTAACACATATTTAATTTTGATAGCTAAAACTTATCCAGTACGTCATACATCATTGTAATATGACAAAATATGTAAATATCTGTAAATTGAATTGAAAATTTCTCGAAATTGGATGTAATGGAGCAATTTGAAAAATGTATTAGTATTTAAATGGCATTTAAAAACCCTAAAAAATGACCCTTAATGTTTAAAAAAAAGTTATTTTTTGTTGAACAGTAATTTGTTATGCAATTGTTCACAATATGAATAAATATGTTGACAAAGTTTTATTTTGATCACTATTGTAAATATAAAATTATTATATACTATCGGTGAATATCAGTCATATTTCCATTATTCTTATCAGAATTTGATTCCCCACGGAAAGAAATCACAAATATTTCAAGATAACAAGTGCCTAAAGTTTCAAAGTATATTTTCAAACGTTTGTGTATTCTCTCGTGTACGGGATGATGTTCGATCTTCATGTCGAAATACACGTCACGAGGTTCTCCTTTCTCACGTCTTTTCTTTCTCTTTGCGAATAATTCCGCGCGCATATTGTTGATTTATGATTATATAATTTGCATATTAGGGCACATTAAAGCTGGGATCGTATTTTTCAGCTTTATCGCATACAGCAATAAACGACTGAAAGATAGAAGGCTGGCATAAAATTCTGTTTTCAAATGACGCGTTTTATTCTTAATTATGTTTCTGTCTGTGTGGAATTTACTCAATCCAAAAGAAAGAAACTCGAAAGTCAGTGATATAACGTATAATCATATAAACATGCTCATGAAAAATCTAATTAATCTATCTAATGTAATTACATGATCTAATATTACTCTTTGAGATACTCGACCAATCAAAACAAATTTCTAATATAATTATATATAAATAATGATATCATATACCTAATTAATAGTGTATTAGATGTACAGGGTGTTGGAGAATAACTGCTAAATATTTCGTGTAGGAGAGACCAGGGCTGATTGTCTTGTGAGATTGATTGTCAAAATGCTTATAATTCAAACAGGATATAGGAGAAAAATCTCTTTTTTTGACTATAGATTGTTGATATAATATTAATTTGTCGTTTAAAATGATTTGCACCACAAGTATTGTATATATTATTTATAACGGTTTTTAAGAAAATGAAGTTGGTGAATAGATTTTTCTTTTCACTTATTTTATTGTCTGACGAATCTTTGACTAACACGCATTATTAATTACGATATCCCCGTATTAATAGAAAATGACATCTTAGAAAATCTTTGCTACAATTAATTAATCATTATCCTGACAAAGTTTTGTAAATACAATCTTTTTTATTAGCCATTTTTTAATTAAAAATGGCTGTGGAGTAGATTGATCAAATGAGATTAGGTAACAATTAATTTTAATATCTTTAGAGAATACATTTTCAGAGAATATACTTATAAATATATTATATTTCATATAGATTTATATGTTTTTTCATTTTTTGTATAAAAACTACAATACAAGAAGAAATCACGTATTTTATAATTAAACTATTTTATTTGTATTAATATCATAATTACTATTATTTCTCAAAATATAGAACTGATATTAAAATAAAAATTATATTTTTTATATGTGTTATCCATAACAAATATACTATTATAAATATCCTGCAATCCTAAAACATATAGCAATTAACCAAAAACACGGGGTTAATTGTCACAGCTTCATTTTAAATTAAATAGCTTATTTTTACGATATGATGAATTTACGAGTTATATTTTTTTTAATACCTAAAGGATGTAGGTATATTATAATGTAAATAATATTTCAAAATCAGGCATCCACTTTTTTCTAAAAATCACTAATAAAAAACTGTACAAACAGGTCCTGGTCTCCTCTACTAATAGAACGAATTAATTTGAGTCGAAAAGTTTTTTACATTTTACAATTTTTGCAATAGTTAACAAGATATTAATTACTAAAAATCGCTGAATATTGATTTTAATTAATTTTTTACAACCAACTTTACAGAAAAACAATAAGTGACAAAAATTATTTATTTTCTTGTCATAGAGCTCTAAAATTTGTTCAGAATTTTTTATCAACTTTTTAGTACTGTATTTTCTTATTGGCAACTATTTTTCCAACATGAGAAAATGCGGTACTAAAAAATTCTGAAAAAATTCTGAGAACTTTATGAAAAAAAGATAAATACTCTTTGTTCACTCGGTGTTTTTCTGTAAAGTTGATAGTACTTGAGTAAAAAATTAATGAAAACCAACATTTAGTGATATTTAGTAATTAATATACTTAGTAATTAATATTATTAACCATTGTGAAAATTGCAAAATGATAAAGAACTTTTTGATTCAATTTAGTCTGCTCTATAGCAGATTAAATATATTTACTTTTATTCTTGGCGTATCTATTTACTTTTGTAAGATCTTTTTATCAAATTACACAAATTTACATAAAATTAACATTCATATTAATTTTATAAGGTTAGATATAAAACTTCACGCACACATACGTGTACTTTTTATATATATTGTACTAATAATGCATTATAAAAACTCTGTTAAAAAAGATTTTTCAATAAGAATTACGAATGAAGAGAAGAAAATCGTCTGTTCGAATGATGCGAATTACTACGGATTGTCCGGATGCAAGCAATAAAGAGAGGCTTGCCTTGAGGAAACACGTGGCTCACGCCTCGATTCATTGAGGACATCTCATCGCTACGATCGAGATCCTTGAACCGGCCGCTGCGTTTCAAGAACGCCAACCAACTTAGATCGCCCCGTAAAATTTGCGCTATATTTGATTACTCATCTATTTGATAATCTTCGAGGTAAGGTGCGTAAACCATTATACGACGAAATTTGTCTAGAAGCGACAAGCGTCACGATGCCAAGTGCATAAAAAAAATAATGAACCATATTATGTCACTGCGTAAATGTAGCACTTACTTACTTGATTAATGAGAAACCTATTTGGTTGAATGAAAGAAAATTTGTTTGAATCAATTAAATCTTTTGTTTGAATATAGGCAAACAAATCCTTTAGTTAACATAACAAAACAATTTGATTAGAAAATTTGGTAATATTAATATAAAAATTTGGTTCAGTAAATAAATGTCATGCTTGGCACTAGATGTACTTCGAGCTGATTCTTGAGGCAATACTTAAAATCAGCGGCATACGATGCTTGTTTTCCAGCTGAATTGCTAGCTGCATTAGAATCTTGCTATCGTATTGGCTGCGGTGCTGTCAGTGCCAGAATCGCAGCCAATACAGTGGCAAGATTCTAATCCAGGTAGCAATCCAGCAGGAAAACAAGCATCGCAGACATCATGTCGCGCACGTTACGTTGTCTCATGCCAGAGGAAACATTCCATATCATAAGCATGCAGAGCATTTCGTATTTTCCGCCAAATCATTATTAAAAAATATTTTTCTTACTAAATTATATTATTTTCATAAATAATTAAATATTAAATTATTAACGTATTGTATTATGTATGTTATGTACATTAATATAATTATTTGCATAACATCTGGGAATGTTCAGAAAAACCTTCCAAAGTGTCCCAAATAATTATCGCTTAAAATTATCTCAAAAGCCTTTGGAAAATCTCTCTGGACATCCTCGGACGTCCTAAAAAAACAGGACGAAGAAAAGAGAACAGAGATAAAAGGATGGCAATCTTCCGTATCATTGTAAAAATCCGATGAAATGGTTTGGTCAATAGTTAAGAATATATTAATAACAATACTTTTAAAATACAATATGTAAAATTATTACTTGAACAAGATATTGATTGGGCAACAATTGAACATATTTTATTAGACACATTATAGATGAAGAGAAAAAGATGTGGAAAATTAATATATATGATAGAACGATTGACAATATATTCTCCATTAATAATTAAGAATATACTGTCGCTAATGTTCTAACACTGACAATAACTCGAAAATTTAATAAATTGGTTCTATTAATTATCTGAAGACATATAAAACTTGAAGTCGATTCTCTATCTAGATCACGAGTTATCCAATTTAATTTTGCATGAGTTCTTATGGAGTATCGCAAGTGGAAATAAATCGCTGAAATCTCTGAAATTGCTAAAAATCGCTGAAATCTATATCAATTAATCTATTTCATTTTAATTCATACTGAAATGGATTAACTGATATAGATTTTAGCGATTTTCA